GAGAAAGGTAATGATGATGTTGATTGGTGGGTGCATTAGTTGCCCACCGCAATACAATACCCTCCACCCACTACCCATCGCCCACTACCTACTACCCACCACACCACCCATCACCAACACCTACCACCGTGCCCACCACCCACCACCCACCCCTTTTCATACAATCCCACCAACATGCACAGCTCCACATAGCTTGATGACCACTGCCCACCACCCACATGCATGTACAACCCACCACTCACCATCCACCACCCACATACATCATGTACCCACACCACCACCCACCACCTACAATCCCACCTACCTGCACAGCTCCACATAGCGTGATGACCACCAGGTAACAGCGCCCACCACCCACCACCCACCCATCACCTATAACACAATCCCACCTACCTGCACAGCTCCACATAGCGTGATGACCACCAGGTAACAGCGCGGGTCTCGCAGACGTTGACAAAAGCTGGGCTGGCATCTCCCCCATCCGCACTCTCCTCCGGACTGCTCGTCCTCGCCAGAGTTTTCCTCTCCGTCTCCTCCATCCTCTCCTTCTTTCTGCCCATTCTTCTTCTTCTCCTTCTCCCTCTTCTTCTTATCCGCATCCTGGCCTAGATGCATGTCGCTGAAGTCCCTCTTGTGGTCTTCCTCTTTGTGGTGCCCGTTCGCCAAGATGTGACCATCTTTGTTGCTGGCCGGTGCCACTTCGGCGCCCCGAAAGTATCTCTCCCCGGCCCTCGCCCTCTCCCCCTCGCTCATCGTCTCGTCCTGTAGGAGCGGGGTGGCCGCCGATTCCAAGGGCGACTCGTGAAAGGCGCTGCTAAGGTACTCCGATGATTGATCCTCAGCAGAGAAAGGATCGAACTCAAACTCTCCGCTGCCTACATCGAACACAACGCCAGGGGACCGCTGTTGCTGGAGATGGTGGGGGCTAATGTGGTGGTGCTGGTTGCTGTGATGTTGGTGGTGGTTGTTGTGGTGGTTGTTGTGGTGGTTGTTGTGATGTTGGTGGTTGTTGTGGTGGTGGTGGTGGTGGTGCCCGTTGACAGCGCCGTTCGATCCGACCACACCAACCTTCAGATCGTGAGGTCTCGGTTGAAAGGGCGCAGGACGCAACGATTCGTTACGATGATTTTGATTATGACGATGATCGTAAAGATCTTTTTCTTCCCCGTTGGACACGGGAGAGGAGGAGGAGGAAGAAACAACAGCTGCTGCTGTTGTTGCTGCTGCTGCTGCTGTTGCTGTTGTTGCTGCAGGGGCGGTGATAATGCCGTTATTCACGCCAAAATTCCCATCAGAATCAACACAAGTATTATTTAATCCAGGCGAATGCGACGAGGCGAACTTGTCTCCTTCTATTGCTGCAACAACACCACTAATCCCTCGCTGTTCTCCCGCTGCTGCCACACTACTAGGTAATCCGGGCGAATGACACGACCGGAATAAATCTACCGCCGCGGCTTGTTGGATTTCCTCACCACCGGCGCCCGATTTCGATTTCGAATCCGATTTCGATTCCGATTCCGGTTTCGAACTCGATCTGTCCGGCTGTTTCGACGACAAGGATGACAAAGGCAAAGACGGTGAATATGTAGACGGCGACGCGGCTCCTAATTCGTTGATGATGGCGTTATTTTGACCCGAGGAGCGGCGGAGTAAGTAATCCTCATCTGCACTACTCGCCGTCGAGTGACGACTGTGGTCCCGTGTGGTGTTGGTGGTGGTGGTGGTGGTGGTGGTGGTGGTTGTAGCGGTGGTGGTGTTGGAAGAGGGCGTAGTACGGTGGTGGTTGTCGTGGTGGTGGTGGGAGGGAGTGTCGCGCGTTGCGACGGCCGGCGTGCCAGTCACCGGAGTAGACGACAGTAGAGGCGGATGTGACGACGGTGAGGAGGAGGAGGAGGAGGAGGAGGAGGAGGAGGAGGGCGATGATGATGCCTTCGTCGTAGCTGTAGTAGTAGGCCTAGTCGTTGTAGTAGTAGTAGTCGTTGCTGCTGCTGCTGCTGCTGCTGTAGTTACTCCTTCTTCTTCTACTTCTACTTCTTCTCTTTCATCTTCTTCTCCTTTTACTTCTTCTGTGTCTTTTATGTCGTTTTCTTCTTCTTCTACTTCTGTGTATTTTTCTTTTATGTCGTTTTCTTCTTCTTCTACTTCTGTGTATTTTTCTTTTATGTCTTTTTCTATTTCTACTTCTTCTACGTCTTTTTCTTCTTTTCCTACTCCTTTTTCTTCTTCTATTTCTTCTTCTTCTACTTCTTCTAGTCCCACTTCGAGGCCTGTCTGTGACCCCGCGTCAACTGGGCGGAGATCTAGATCAGCCGACAAACCACCGCCACTACTACCACTAGCGTGACGGTCGCCGGCGTGAAGAGCTGATGACGCCACCACGCCGCCCCGCGTCCGTGTTTTCTGCGTCATGTCCTCACCGCTGGCGTTCCTCGCTTGCCTTCTCCCACTACTCCTCCTCCTCGCTTCCTC